CCTCATTCCAGACTGCCTCTAACCTGCCTGAGGGCACTTGGGGCCATGGAGGCATCCAGGTGGCTTTATGCCCCTGATGCATGGGATGTGCTGCAGCTCAGCTGATGGAGGTGGCTCATCCTGGTCTGCCTATCCATCTGCCTTGCTGACAGCTGGAATTTCCCTGGAGTCCCGTTCAGATTCCCAAGATAAGCAGGCCCCACGGTGGTGTCCATGCGTGGTGAGGAGGAAGCAGCCAGCCACTGTGAGCTGCTGCCCGACCCCGGCTCCAGGCACGGAGGTGGTGGCTGACGTAGCTTTGGGGATTTCACAGACTGGGCTTCAGCGTCACTGAGCATGGCCTGGCATGAGTGGGAGGAAGGGGCTATTGTTTTCCCAGATAATTCCCCATGACGCAGCCTGAAGCCGGTGCAGTAGGAAATGCTGATCAGCTTCCTGCCCCGGCGCAGGGATGATTTCCCCATCCCTGCAGCCTGGTTCTGTGTCTGGCGGCTCCCTGCCAGGAGGGCTATGATAGCAGGGGAGCCACTTGGCAACCAGCTGGAAGAGCCACTGTGCAGTGTCTGCAGCACACAGCAGCATCTCCCGGTGCTCTCAGAGAGGGCTCCTACCACTAACAGCTGGCACTCAGAGAACTCATCTAGCGGGACACCTGCATTATTTGACCTGAAGTTGGGGTCCTACAAACCTTGTTTGTCCTTGGGATAGGGGGAATAGCTTTTTCTCTGGGATGTGGGGGGAGGGGTTTGCACTAGTGCCTGAAGGACTTGGGAGCAGGGTTGTGCTCCAAAGCCACTTGGAGCTTGTTCATAGGAGGAGGAGTAGTATCAGATAGGGAGGGGGCTGTTGGAGGAATTGGCTTCATTTTGAAGTGAAGCAAGATGAGACCTCTCTAAGTTCAGAAGCAGCACCCTGGCAGAGAAGTTTGTGCAGTTGCTAATCCACTTTAGCTTGGGCTAACCACTCTGCCAGGCCCCCTGGAGACATACATCTTCAAAGGAAGGAGGGGAGCGTGGCTGGTATCTGTGCAGACGAAGTGCATTAACTATCGTGGTGTCAGTTCATAGTGGTAAAATACTGTTCTTGAGTATGCTGCCTGGAGGCTAGGAGCTTCTATACCCTGTATTCAGACCAAAGCAACTGCTGCCATTACTCCTGTTCGCTGCTGATTGCAACCCACTGCAGACAGGGCTGGCGTCGGGGGGACTGGGGCTGCCTGTCAGCAGGCTTAGCAACAATAGCAATGACTTACTGAGCCACACCTCTACAGTGCATTCTGTGCCTCATGGAAGGCAGCGCCATGGCTCGCAGGAAGAGTGAGGCAAGTGCTTCCGGATCTGACTGCAGATTCCAACTGAAGATGTCTCCAAAAAGATCTGATTTTAATTAGTCACACTCCTCTCTACTACTGACAGAGTAGGTCATGCTCTGACTGGATAAGATCATGTCTTTGTGTCTGACTGCCAGTTCTTTCTTTGCAAACAGATCATTGCTTACTGATCTTGCAGTGCATGTCCAGCCAGAGATGCTGTTTAATGCTGCTTGCCCCCTTTTCTTTGTGTTGGTCCTGAGGACACCACAGATTAGAGATGCTGCAAACCCCGGGCATCTCAACTGCATACAAATGCAGTGTGCACTGGTTTTGCACTAACATTTTTCACTTGCTTTCTGGTGTTCAGGTTTTTGGGAATGTCACATTTCTGGTATTTTTTTTTAATACAAAGTCCAAGACTCTCACATAAACATCTGATTCCAGGAGCTGGGGCTTTAACAAAACTGCTGCAACACCGCAGAGCCTGTATTGGTGGTTCTGGCAAATCCTTAGGTAAATACATTTGACGGTGAGAACACACTATCTTTTGATCTTGGGATCATGAAAGCACTTGTTCTTTGCAAATTCCTTTCACAGCTCGAGCAGAAAGAGCAGAACAGCATGACAGGAAGTGCTGGAGACTTTGGATTATCCAAATGCTCTTTATAATGTTACTGTTCTTGTAATACTTGTCCATAGATTCTTGGATTATACACCTCTTCACTGTTCTGTAGATGGGAGTTTTCTGGTCATCTAACATAATCTTCAGATAATACCTTAAGCACCAGTATCTCTATTTAACCTGTTATAAACTCCCTTATAATCAGTGGGCTTGATCCACATGAGAGTTACTACAGATGTCCTAATGCTTTTGAAAGCTTCATTTATGGTCTTGGATATAATTACGCAGCAGAAAACCTATCTGGTGGCCAAAGTAGGCCAAAATCTCCTGTGTGGATTTTGTGTCTGATCATGTGTTGGAGCTCTTGGAGTCAAAGCACTAATGTGATTTCAGCCTCACTCATCCATCCGTCTGTCTATTTTCTTAATGCTTGTAGGAACTTAAACATCCTTGAGGCCTCTATCACTGTCAAACTGATTTGGGCTTGGCTGACAGATCCAAAGGTCCTTCGTGGGAGTGGGAACATGCCCGTGTGCATGTGGAGTATGTATTTGAGATGACTCGCTTCCTTAGGAAACCAGAATTAAAAAATAAAAGCAACTCTAAATTACTTCCTTTTTTTCTAATTCTTGATTAGTACTTAAATATTTCTGCAATACAGGTTGTGACATGATTTCAACTTTGAGCCTCTTTGACCTAAGAGTGTAACTCCTTTAGCCTAAAACTTGCGCCTCTGTCTTTCATTAAACCAGCTATTTATGTACACTTCTGAACCCATTTCCTACTTGTGGCCTCCAAATGGTGGGCTAGCATGAGCATTTAATGCTGATAAAAGATCACTGATACTTTTCCCCACGGTGTGATATACAGGCTGAAGTAATTTTTTTGCTAAAATCCACAGTTTCTGCCATGGGAAAGACTATTTTTATGAGCACTGTTATGTGCTTTGAGTGAGATTGCAACAAAGGGAGATTAGCTAATTACTCCAGGGTCTTTCTTCCTTTGGTGTGTGGGAAAGCTGCATAGCTGACATCCATAAGCATCAGCCAGAAAGTCATGGGAGAGCAGTTCTGCCACCCCACATCTTGAGTTAGCCCGCTGATTTCAGATGATTTGTGACTCATGAGTGCGTTTGGATCCACACTGCTCTTCTCTAAGGGCTCCTATGTGCTGTGCTTGGTGCCGTGTTTGAGTGCCATGACGTGAGATGACTCCCATCTGTCAGTCTGGGAATGTTAGCCAGTTGCCTAAGGAAATCAGGGGACATAAAAGTGATTTAAAGAAAAATCTGTAGGGGCATTTAGTCATACTTGTTTTTATTGAGTGTTTATCCTGTAACTATAGCTCTATCAAACAAATGTCATGAGACGTTCAAAGGGCGGTGAAGGCTCACTTCGTTGCTGTAAAAGTCAGCGCCTATATTGAGTGGGAGGGGGAACCAGTTGTGTTAATTAGTGCTGGGAACCATGGGCCCAGCATGTTAAGAAGGGCCCTGTTTCATCTTGTGCCATTGGACCTTAGCCCTGTATTGAAGCCCTGCCCAAACTTTACAGATGGCTAAAACATTTCAAAATGCACATTTGGGTGCCATCTTTTAGCCCCAGATATTTCAGCTGCCTTTGTAAATGTTACTCCTTTCTTATGCCTGCTCTAGTGAGGCCTCATTGTACTTTCTTCTTGCTTTGGTCAAGTGTCTTCTCTGGAGAGAAATGTTGTTATCTCTGCCTAGGCTGCAAATTCCCAGCCTCCTGAACTGGGGATGGGGCGTAGAAATTTTCCTATTTTTGTTAGCACTGCTTATGATTCAGAAGAGTCTTACATCATCTCTTGTCTTATTTAAGATTTGGATTTTCCCCCTTTCGTATTAAATTGTAATTAGTGTTTCTTAGTATCCACTAATAACCACTGCTCAAAGCCTCCTGTTTGCAGCAAACCCAGGATGTCTGGGTGGTATTTCATACTTCCGACACTGTAGAAGTCTCTGGCAGTTAGCTGTCACTGCCTGTGGACAGTCTTTTTTTATTAACAACAGCCATCTTCCCACCCTTATTGTGGGAATTTCTCGTCCAGAAAGTCTAAAGTTGTTCATCAGAGACAGCTGTGAACCCCAGTCTTAGCTGAAGGAGCAGACACACTCCAGACCACGTATAGTAATAACAAACCCCTTCTTTCTGGGTTGCCCTTGTGTAAGTAAAACCAAGCTTTCAGATGTCATTGAAGAGTCTGCCTCTTTCTGCTGCTCATCTTTTTTCTGTAGAAAGCCCTGCTTTCAGGAATTGCAAGGAATGCTTAAGTCTTGCATGAGAAGGTAGGTCCTGTGGTTTGCCATAGGTTTGCAGGAGGTCCCAGGTATGTGGCACCTTGAACTAATAGCTCTGGCGATGTTTCTGGGCTCTTATGTTGCCAGCATGTCAACTCTGAAATGTCCTGAAAATCAGCCTGAAGCCATCCAGGGTGGGGCTGAGGCCCTTGTGACTTTTGGAGGATACTTGCCTGATTTGATGGTTATGGTTGTGTACTCCTCAGCTGACACCACACATAAAGGCCACCACTGCAGTGGCTGCTTGCTTCAGGCTGCCCTGTCACATCCCACCTGCATGCTTGAGCACCTCTGATTTTTGCCTCTACTCCTTTGCATGCAGGAAGTAAGACAAATAGGAAGTGCACACAACCGGAGTGCAGTGCCCTTCACTGCTGCCACAGCTTCTGCCCCCAGGGTGATCACTGCTCAGTACAACAGCCCAGCAGGTCTCTACTCCTCAGAGAACATCCAGACCTTCAACACTGCTGTGGAGTCAAAGACATCACCAGGGGCCCTAGAATCTACCAAGCCGTAAGTATCTTCCTTGCCTCCCATCGCTGCCCAAGCCCCCAGGGAAAGGCTCCAGCAGATGTGAGTTCACTGTGAGGACACCAGTCTGTTAACCCAGAAGAGCTTTTTTTCAGGTCAGGGGAAGGAGCAGACACATGAGTATGCATGTGGTTCCCAGGGCAGGGCTTGGAGGAGCAGGGAACTTTTCAAGAGATCCAGAAATGAAATTAATGCTGTTGTGTTTCTTTGTTTAGCAGAGACCGACGCAGTTTCCACGTGCATTCAGCATGACATGCCAGCCTGCTGGTCTGACCAGGTGCCTGACAGCTTGTTACGAGCACTTAGAGTTTTGTGCTGGCTTTGTGGGTAATGCTGGGCAGGAGGGGTACTAGCTAATGCAGGAGGGGTACTAGCTAATGCAGGAAGCACACATGTCCCCCTTCTGGGATTCATAGTCAGACTCTGCCTAAGTTTGGATCTTTCTGTTTCTTATTACTGAACCTTGTTTTTCACAGGAGTTTTAAAAAATAGTTGAAACATTGATAGCTGAAACATTGATACCTGTGTGAGCAATTTCATATATGGGACTGGAAAAGTTCCCAACCTTAAAAGGGCCTGCTGATTTTTGTGGTTGTGTCTGAGTTCGCCAGAGACATTATTCCAAAAGTCCAGCATTCCTCTTTTTTCATTGGAAGCAATAAAGCAGGAGCTGTCTGAAATCTTTCTGGCTGTGTTGGTCAAGTTGCTTAACTGCCCAAAGTCTATATCTGTACCAACTGCCAGGAAAACTTTGGCCACTTTTACAACAAAAGCTGCAAGACCAATGCTTTACGTGATACTCAGTTAAATTTCTGACTTGTGAATGGGGAGCCAAAAGTAACTTCAGCCTCTGCTTTTGTAGGGCACAAAGACCTGAGATTGTGTTTTAACACAAGCCTAAAAACTTGCCCCTGACTGAAACCGGCTTCTCACACTGGCAGCCCCATCTGCAGCCGGGTCCCTTCTAGGCAGTTCCAGTGCTGCAGCTGGCAAACAAGGTGCCAGATGTTTGTTCCTCATTTGCTTCTGGTAGAGCTCAGCAGCCTCATTCAGGGGCTGAGCAAAGGCAGAGCAAGAACAAGAGAAATCTGACTTTGCATTAACCTGATGGGACCATTTGGCACAAGCAAAGGATGTGTAGGTTCTCCCTTCACACAGCCTTGCAGCTGTCTTTAAATTCCTACCCTTCTGTTTTCTGAGTTATTTGTACATGGCCCACCTTGCTCTGGGTTTACCTGGCATTTTATCTGCACCCCCATGCTGCACCCAGTAGACACACAGCCTACCTGAACCCAACAGCCTGATCCTGCCACTGCACTTGGTGATGCAACATGGGGACCTGGTCCATGCTCCATCCTGTATGATGTAAATGCAAGGCAATAAAGACAGAAACACCAGCAAATCCACTGGATTTGCAACTGGTGTTGCAAAGCAGGTGGGGAGAGGAGGGGGAAGCCTCACTGCTGAGCACACCTGTTTTGGAGTTGGAGGTGAGATGGGCCCTCAATAGGATGCCCAGGCTAGGTTTGGGAAGGGTAGCAGTGAAGGTGGCACTCCTTGGCTGGGCAGTGGGACCATGAGTGCTAGTTCATATTAAAATCCCTGCTGCCATGTCTTAATTACCTTTACAGCCCCTTTGCTCATCAGTAGAGTGACTACATTTTAAGTTTTTGTGTGGGCACACCTGGGGCGTGAGACCAGAGCCACAGCATTAGCCAGAAGCATTTAGTGTAAAGTCATGTATTCAGTGGTGTGCCCCTCAGACACTATTCTGCAACTGCTTGTACTGCTTAGAGTATTAGGTTTAGTCTATTAATATCTTCCTTCTTTCCTTTCTTCCTCCGTTGCACTTTTCCCTCAATTCTACAACGTAAAACCCAAACGACCCCCAAACAAACACAACTCAATCTGCACACATGAACGTGTGGGGCCTTAGCTGCCCTTTGCCAATGAGCCCGATGCAGGCTCCTGTCGCCTCCATCTATAACCCTCTGCAGGTGCAGACCTCCGAGCGGAGGCACAGCACCTCCTCCATCCCCAGCCAAGTCCGAGTGGGGCCTGAGCAGCTGAAGCGCACGGCTCAGATCTGCCCCAAGAGCCCTGTGGAAGTGGAGGTGCCGGGACTCAAAGTGCTACACATGCAGTTCAATTCTCCCCTGCAGCTCTATTCACAGAGCAACATCATGGATTCCCTGAAGGGGCAGATCTCTTCTGTTAGCCCTGATTTCCCCAGGTAACATACCCACTGCCTCTGCAGTGGGCTTCAGTGCATCCCTTCATCTGCATCTTAGTGTCCACGAGTACCTCGTCCGTGTCTGTGGCTCACGGTGTTGCTGGTCACAAGGAAACAGTGTCTACATTTCACCTTCCTGACACTAGTGCATGGCTCTTCACAGGGACTTCCTCTGCATTGTGTCTGTGTCCAGCATTGCGGGGAGCACCAAACATGATTTCAGCCTGTCACTGTGTCCATTGCCCCCTGTGCACCCATGCGGAACACCCTTGACAGCAGCTGGTGGCTTTCCTGGAGGAGCCACCTGTAACAGATGGCCTTGCTGGGGGGCAGGAGAGTGCTTTATCCTGAAAGCTGGTGTTTCTCCTGCGCTGAGATGCTTGTTGTTTGTGACTGGAAGGTGTTGCCACGTGTCCTTGTGCTTTTGTTCCACCGGCTGCGGGCAAGGCCATGTGTGTGCGCTGGGTGTGTTTCATTTCAGGCTGAAGCAGGTCCCCATAGGCTCCATCTTATGTTGGTAACACTCGTGAGTTTGGTTCAGCCTGGGCAGGCAGTGGACACATGGAGGACCCAGTCTGTGTTCCCACCCCTGCCCACTTGTCTGCACAGGTTGCTGCTCTTGCAACTGCCTCTTTGCCCATAGGAGTGGAGGATGCTCAACATGGTCTGATTTCTGCAGGATGTGCAAGAGCCTCAGCATCACAAGGCCAGGGTGCTTTTAGGTGTTTTGCTTTGTGGCAGTTGGGAACCAGCTGGCCTATCTCTCTAAATGACAGCCCACAGGGTTTTACAGGGAGGACTTCGGTACTGAGAAGGGCGAAGCAGAAAGTACATTTAGGCATCTCACAGGAGGGCTCCAACCAAGGCTGAATTGTTTCAGATGTGAACCATCAGCAGAGTTATCCCACTCTGTAACCAAGCAGCTTGCAGCTGTGTAACATGTGGTTCAGGAAGGTGATCAGTCCTATGGCTTACAAGGGACAGAGTGAAAGGGCACAGACAGATCTCGTAGCTCTTCTGCTGCTCACAGTACCCTCCTGAGCTAAGCACCACGTGCTTTGAAGAAGAAAAGTTGGTGTCCTCACCCATGGACCCACACAGCCAAGCTTTTGCCGTGTGCCAGCAGCCAAGAGATAATGGGAGGCTGTGGATTTACTCCTGCCTCGTTACTCAGGCCAGTTACTTGCTTTGGCTTTTAGTTGGTAAACCAGAAGCCAGAGCATTCCAGTAACAGTCTGCTGGCTGGCTGTGCCGGTCCAGACAGCTGATAACACTCACAAAAGGAGCCCCAGGCATCAGCAGTTGTTTCATTGCAAAAGCGAGTGCTCCAAGTACTTTGGAGCCCAGCTCTGAGATCCTTGTAAACTTTACAAAATGTGCTAACAGAAAATCATAGAATGCCAGTAGTAAAGAATAAGCTGTGCTTTTCTGAAGACGCTGTGCTAGACTGTGGCTTTATGGGTTTTATTGCCATCTTCTTGCCAATTTTAAAAGCTCAGCAATGCAGTGTTACTCAATCAGTGTTGCAAGTTGCCCATGGCAGAAGCAGTGAGATCCAGTAATGGTTTTGTGAATCCAAAATCCAGTAAAGCATGTTGGAGTTGTCCCCTACAAAGTTTTGGAGTTGGGGAACTTTGGTGCATGGTAAATGAGACCAGTTGCTGGTGACTGCTGCAGATAAAGTACCTGTGTAACAGGAGGTGCCATAAATCAGCAAACATACAGAGACTTGCTATCCTGCAGGCACAACTCGTGTGCCTGTGCCCATTCAAAAGATGCGTGTGCTTTTGTTGTTTTGTTTTTTTTTTATATTTTATTTTCTTTAAGCAGCATAGCTTTCTGCCCTGACAAATTGAGCTATTTCACTCTGCTCATACGAATTCTAGGATTTGGGGGTTTTTATAGTCTTTGGAAGTCTTGTAGAGGCAAATTTACTTATAGGGTGTGTACCAGGGAGAGATGATCTACGTCTTTTGCACACTGTCACAACACGTGGTTGAAATGTGATGGCTTTGTTTGACTTTAGTGCTCTTGAAGGTGATGTAGCTTTTGCTTTTTGAATGCATGTTAATGAAACATTCTTAGTATGTGAACTGCAGTGAAAGGTTTCTTGCCTAATGTTTTCATGGGTCTATAGAGTGGGGGGAGTATATGGGTTTACATAAGATGAACCTAATGTGGAGCATGGATTCGTTTTGGATGAAGGACCTAGGACATTTTCTGTGTAATAGAAAGCACGTCATTATTTTATTTTGGGTGAGAGGCTTCAGTAAATGACATTCAGGCATCAAGGGTTCAACTGCTTGCAAGCCTAATGTGCTTCTTGCTCCACTGAAAATTACTAAAGATGGAAACATTTTATGAAATTCTTTTTATGGAAATAGTGTTTTATAACACGTGCGATGATTTTAGCTCTGATGCTTGAAGATTTATTATGTAGAGTAACTCTCAGATGACTCTATTGCACATTGGCATGGGAAGTATGCAGTTGCCTCCTCAAAAAAAGATTTCCTTCTGCAATTTAGTCTTAACTTTAGAATGTTTATGTACTTCTCAGGCAATCACAGGGTGCAGGAACAGTGAAACCTAATAGACCATTTACATTTATAAGGCTGCATTATGTAATTGAGCTGTCAGAGGAGACTTGTCTCATTTTTCTAGAGATGTTTTTACTCCAGTCATAGAATACAAAGCAGGCAGGAACCTCCCATGTCCATCCCCTAGCCCAGCAGTTACTTGATTTAAACCATCAATTTAAATAATTCCCATGGGATATTTGTCCAGACTCTTTTTAAACCTTTAGTATGGAGGTTGCTCACTTCTCCATAAGCAATCTCCTCCAGCATTTCAGAATCTACCCATTAGAAGGCAGCAAGGAATATTCTGAACATCCTCCTGCAGTTTTAAGCCTGTAGTTTATCCTGCACCCACTGGATGTGGAGAACATCCTAGGTAGTGCCTCCGAGCCTCTTCCCCCCCCCCCCCCCCCCAGTGACCCTTCCACTGGCATAATGACCACCCTTTCAACCACCCTGCATTGTGAAAAGCTGACACTGAAGCACTTCAGGCTCTAGGCTGAGGGTGCAGGTCCCTCATGAACTGAGTGGCAGCTGAAAGGAGGGCTTAGTGTTAGCACACAGAAATCTCCTCTGCCTTCACTTGCTTGTTAACCTTGATTAAATGCTGTAAATGGCCTGTGGCTCAGTCTTCTCCTATGAAATGGAAATAGCAACACTCACTTGAAAACCAAATTAAATTGTTGCCAATTAGGGAATCTTATAGTTAGATTGTACAGCTGTTACTTTGTGAAGGGAGCCTTTAGGACCCATTCATAGTGTACGTGCAAAGATTAAAAATTTCTTTTTAATGGAATAAACTTTACTTAGTTTGAGATTCACAGTGGTGCAAGGTATTAGTCTAAGGTATTAGTTCATGCATGCAAGGAACATGCATAGATGGCACAGCTACCATGCAGGATCCCATCACAGCACAAATTCTTTATTTTCCTGTTAACAGAGTGGTGATTTCCTGAGAAAGTTTTAGTTTCTGGAGTAAATAGTTTATTGTGAAGCACAGAGAACACCTGGGGACTGGCTGGGGGCAGTCAGTGTGAACCTTATCACAGTGGTATATGTGGATAGCCCAGGGTGCCAATCTCACCTGGGCTGCGAGTCTTGTGCGAGCACATCCAGCACCTCTGTATTTTATGGCATCCTGTTGCACACTTATTTTGCACGTTTGTTCTTCAGTCACATGACGCATTGTGAAAATTTTGCTAGAGGCACTGGCTTTAGTTTTCAGCTTTTTAACAAGCTTATTCCCTGTTCCTTTCTCAGTTTAGATCAGCATAACCAGCCCCCAGGAAGTATTGTCATCGACAGAGAATCTGAGGTTTACAAGATGCTCCAGGAGAATCAAGAATCAAATGAGCCACCCAGACAGTCTGCTTCTTTCCTTGTGCTGCAAGAAATCTTGGAGTCAGAAGAAAAAGGTGAGCACTTAACTGCACACCTAATCTGAGTGTGCTTTTCTCTTTGCCATTCCTTGGGTGCATATGATGTTTAAGAGTAATATCTAAAACTTTGTTTTCCTTTTTTAGCTGTTGATTGTTCAAGGTAGCACACGTCAACGGTTTCTGCAGAAACCTGCAGACCCTCTCATAAACTTAACTCCTAAATGTTCTCTTGTTGATTAGTGTCAGCGTCTACAGGCCTATATTACTGCTCACTCTTTGAGCAAGTGCTTAAGAAATAACCCCCTACAACATTTAGTTATCAAGAAGGAAGTTACAAAATTGCAAAAATTTGTCCATGTTTTGTAAAGTTTTGCTCCTTTAAGATAATATTCACTGATTAAAGACCATCTTGGATTCAAGATTTTGAAAGGTACCTCAAGATAGTGATCTTTAGTGAATCTTAATGCTTCTGATAGCCATCCTTTTATATAAGAAAAAAGGTTCTGTAAAAATATGGAAGTTGAGTTACAGCAAGCAGTTCCTATAGCTTTTAAACTCTAAAATTTCAGTCTGCTTGGCATTCTTGATCTGACATCTGGACTTCTGCAGTTCAGGGCTATAGAGCTTAAGATAAAAAAAGCCAGTTAACTTAGATGAGGGCCAAATTGTACTCACTTTTCCCCTTAAATAAACTAAAATAAACAAGTAAATAGGAAAGGAATTCCAAGAATGACTTTTTTTTTTCCTTAGACCAGTTGAGACTTTTGTCTTTTGTTACTAGCTTGGCAGTGGTATGTTCAATTTCATCCAACAAAAGCCTGGTGCTGAGATGCTCACCACAAAGGGAAACAGATCAGCCTCAGACCTGGTAGGTCTGAGGGATCTGTACGGAAAGAGAAAAATGAAGGAAATAAGGAAACAATAGGAAGAAATAAACCAGGATCTTGGAGTCTTTTATATGCTGTTAAAATACCTGCCTGAAAGCATCTTTTAAACACTGGGTTTGCAACTTGCCCTCAGGGTTCAGCTCCTGTGTGGAAAGGACTTGAGTAGCTGCGACTTCTTGCGCAGCCAAGGTTCTCCCCCATGCTTAGTAGTGCTGAAGAAGATACGAAGCAAAGCCTTCTCTGCTTTATCTTTCTTCGAAGATTTGCAGAATTACTGGGATTCTCTGGCACAAGGTTTGCCTGCCAGATCACAGGCCAGGATGGGCTTTGGCATCACTCCACTGTGAACTGATAATCACCCATGCAGAGGAGGGCCAGGAGGTTACACAGCCCCAAAGGAATGTCAGTCCTTGAGGAGATGGTGCTCCTGCCTGCCAGGCTCAAACACCCCTGCTGCTGAGTCAGATCATGTCTGCTGTGATAACCAGCACATTGGTGATAAGTGTCACATTGGTTGGCTGCTTCTCCCAGTCTGTCCTCAGGTGATGGCTTGTGAGTAGCAGCAGGGAGCTGTCTCCCCAGCTGGGACAAGTTCCTCCAGGCATTGCTCTGTCGGCTATGCTGACTTACACCAGCTGAGAACCTAGCTCCCTACACAGGGGATCTGTGTGGGCACTGGTGTGTGGAGGTACCATGGCTGGTCTGTGTTTCCATGTTTAGACCTGACCCTGTACTAGTAGGGGGAGAGTGTTTCACAGGGTGGAAACACGTTATGTTTCCTGTGGGCATTTGATTAAGTTGATCCCTTTAGAAAGATTTAAAATCATGCTGATATGAGCAAAGTTTGAGGCACAGGGAGTGAGCAGAGGTGATAGATAGGGAAGAGCCTGCAAATGTGGTTGCTGCTGTTTCCTTCCCGGGAAGGGCCACTTGCAGTAACTGCTGGAGACCAGGTGCTTTGTTCTGTGTTCGGAGGGTACATAAGCTGTAGGGAACTTGCACCTCTGGACCAGCATCTCTTCATTGAACTGAGTGCAAACCTCTGAGCTGAAGGCTGCCACAGAGGCAAAGCATGTCAGCATCATCTGCTCCATGGATGAGCAGTGGTGACAGGGCAGTTCATTCCTTTTTCCTTCAGCTCCCCTGTCAGTGACGCTGCCCTGGGCTGTGACATGTCCATAACCTTGCTGGTCAACAGCATATGCCTCTGGAGGATATTTCCTTCCCTTACACCAGGAACATCCACTGCAGTGTGCTTTTGGTTTTTAGTCAGAAGAGTTTTATCAATGTCCTTCTCAGCCTGAGGTGCCTGTTGATCCCCTCTGTTTTGGGTGAAACACCATGTTGAACCGCTTGCAAAAGTCATGTAGCTAAGACTAGTCACATCAATGGTGTCATTTTGTAAGAGGCTCCTTTTTCACTGCAGATATTTAAAGGCTTGCTTTGTATCCTGCATCTAGGATCCACTGCCGTTGTAGGAATTCAGGTCAGCAGATGTCTCCTGCAAAGGACCTGCAGGACATCCCTGCTCCAGAGAAGCTGCACTAGGGAGACACCTGGAGCATGCTATGCAGCAGCAGGAGGGCACGAGGTTATCCCCAGTGTCCCAGGGCCCTGCAAGAACAAGGAGTTTGTTAACCAAATCTTCCAGGAGTCTCGGGAGAGTCAGCCCTACCGTATGCCAGAGAGCAGACTGGAAAAGGACTTCTGACAGCCCTCCCCAGTCTGCCAGGACGCTCACCTCCTCTTGCTGAGCCCAAATCTGGCAATTAGCTTGACACTGTATGTGTGACTGGGACATGGCAGGCAGTCTCTGGTGCTGCCAAGGCTGGGGCAGGGGTAGAGGCTTCGCTTTGCTTTGTGCATCTGTGCATGTGAGACACATCGGCTGAGGTCTGATGGGCTGTTAAGAGGAAAAGAAACTCTCATCTGACTGCCCACAATCTCAGGCCCTCAAATTTCCAGGGGCAGGCTCAGCTGTGCCCTTTCTCTCCCTCCTTCCCACACGTCCCTAAATCCCTGCCTGCTTTCCATGCATGAATCCCAGCCTCAGAGCTGGCATTAAAGAACCTCACACCTCCCTAGAAAAACATCTGCTTGGGAGGGATAGCCTAGAACCACGCATCTCACACGCTCTGAAGCACTCTACTTCCACCCCCCAGGAGACCCCACCAAACCATCTGGATTTAGGAGCGTCAAAGCCCCCACCACAAAGGTGGCCTCATCGATTGGGAATGCCCAGAAGCTGCCCATGTGTGAGAAGTGTGGATCTGGCATTGTGTAAGTAAGCCTGTCCCTGGGGTTTCAGGCCAAGCGTAACATGCCTGTGTGAGGGGCTGAGGTGCTGCACCCAAAACACGTCACCTGCTCACATCCAGAGCGTCCAGGAACTGGCTCAAGACACAATTATTCTCACCAGCTTTGATAGCACCAACTTTGCAGTTCTCTGTAGTGAGACAGGAGTTGGGTTTCCCTCTACAGATTAGTATCTATCAGTGGAAACCAAAACAGTCCCTATGAGAAAAACTTTTGATACAGTTGTTGCTGCAGTATTTTGCTTCCTACCTTTCAGGCAGGAAACACCCAGAAACAAAATGTGCTATTCATTCAGGGCTTGTGTATTCAATGCTTTTAATGTCTTGGCACCCCCTGCCATGGAGTGGTCAGAGGTGCATGGGTGGTCAGAGGCCGTGTGGACCAAGTGAGCTGTGTTCTCCCTGCTTAACTGTAGCACACCTCTACTGTATTTACCCAGACATAATTTTAGTTGTCTCTATGTGGGTATGTCTAACTGCCAGAACACCAGGGGCATGGGTTTGATACAGAGCTGCTGCACCATAAGTGTGACAACAGGAGGGACCGAACCCATGCAGTCAGTTTGATGTTCAGTTTCTCAACCACGGATTCTTTCCTACAACCCCCTTAGCTTAACAGCTGACTCCAGCAGTCAAGTATTGGCAGTCCACCTGCATTGTCATGGAAGAATTCAGCTTTCTTCCGTGCTGCCCACCACAAGCTATCAGCTAGTTGCTGAGGCTCTCTACACTGTGATTGCCTGGAGCACCAGGGACTGACAGAGTCATTAGAGGCAATCCATACCCTGTAAAATATGAATCAGAGACAAACCCTACAATTATTCTAACAGCTGGGTAGATGAGAGAAAGCACAAAGCTATAAATAGCAATAAAAACTTAATGAATTACAGAAAATATAGGTGGCTGCTGGAACAAAATTATACTCCTGGCAAATTGTTGTGTTTTCTTCATCATCTGCTGGGTTAAGCTGTGAAATTTTCCAGAGCTGGCCCACATTTGGCTGGATCCATTCACTGTGGCGCCTGAGCATCAGTGTCTGAGATCAGAACAAGGATCTGGTCTGTGCCTCTCCCACACAAACCTGGCACACTGGTCACTGGCAAAAGGGCAGCGACGGCCTTCATCCCCCTAGGTTGGTGGCAGGCAGTCATTTCTGTATTTCTTTTGCAATCCACTTGGTTTGGACCTGGATTTTGCTCCCCGAGATGGTCACCTTGATGCCTGCCATTTGATTCTGGGCATTTGAAAGCTGTTGTGCTGTCTCGAGCTATCAGCTAAAAGATGCCATCACAGTGATTCTTGCCGCTACACAATAGGGTCCCTGTGAAGCTTAGGCAGGCCAGTGATAGGGAACACTTTCCAGAGAAGTCGCATGCCAGCATGTGTTGGGCTCTAAAAGTGTTGTTAACATCTGCTTGGCAGGAGGTAGGGCGTGTCCTATGACTTCTCAGAAGTCAATCCTTTGACTTCTCAGGAGCAGGAGAAAATTGTCTGCCCTCAGCACTGGTGTGGGTCTGGGCTGGGTGGGAGGTAGCTGGGGAAGAAGGAGGCAGTGGGGGGTACCTGGGGGTACCTGGTGCTGAGGGGTACTGGTTCCTTCCCCAGAGGGGTGTTTGTGAAGATCCGGGACAAGCAGCGACACCCCGAGTGCTATGTGTGCAGTGACTGCGGCACCAACCTCAAGCAGAAAGGACACTTCTTCGTGGAAGACCAAATCTATTGCGAGAAGCACGCACGGGAGCGGGTGATTCCTCCAGAGGGCTACGAGGTGGTCACCGTCTTCCCAAAGTAAACTGCACTGCTCACAAAGCCAGTGTGGATGGTTTATCCCCTGCTGCTTTTCCTTGAAAAGCATCATCCCTGCCTGCCTGCCGAATCTTGTTTGCAATAAGGAATGCTAGGCATGGCTTTGAATTTCCTTGCCATTATTAATCCTCCATTTGTTCACATGAGATGTCACTAATTGTTCAACATTCTTTTTGTTTCCTCTTGGCTTTTTCCTAATACACAGAATTATATTTTTTTTCCCCTCCTTTGCACTGTCAATCACACAGGAAAATCAGAGGCCAAAGTCACATTACCACTCTCTTGTGTCTCAGTTATTTGCCTTTTGTTTGCATTCAATAAACGGGGTGAATCTACAAGGCAGATGGCTCTGCTTTCTCCTGGTATTCTTGTGCACTGGACTGGGGTTCCGTGGGCAGCAGAAGGGTACTCAGTGCATGGCTGTGTTTATAGAGAGTAGCATGGGGAGATTACAAGGTTGAGTCAGACTGCTCTCACATGCTGCCCAGCTGCTGTTAGCAGCTGCCTGCTGGCACCCAGCAAAGGCCCAGTGGGCACAGCCAAGCCACAGACCATAGCTGGCACTGGTGGCCTGTCCCTGGTGCAAGGCAACTGGAACCTGCTTCCTTCCACATCCAGCACTGCTTCATGATGATGGGTCCTGTGATTCCCATACTGCATCACCCAGCTGCCCCTCTATTCCCCATGGTCACAAACTGAGCTCTGTGAAAAAACATCCACTTGATGCTTGCTGGAAGCCGGGGACTCCTGCCTCAAAGAGGGGAAGATTTGAGTGGCCATGGTCTCTGTCCCCTGTTCCAGCTGACCCTGACCGTCCTCTGCAGGCTCCCCAGCCCCATACCACAGGCTCAGGGCTGGGTACAGGCTGGAGACCCACATCTCTTGTCCAAACCAGGGCAGACCTGTGGCCAGGGTTGGGACAGTCCCCTGTGCAAGGGCCCATGTGGCTGCCAGAGGCATTGCTGTGCTGCCAGACATGCAGCTGCTAGAGATGCCACAGGACTGATGTGGGCAGGGGGCACATGCCCCATGTGTGCTGGATGAAGGGCTGATGGTGCCTGAGCAGCAGTGCTCCACCCATGTATAGCAAAAAGCTGTGCAGTGAAGTTCTTTCCAGGCTCACACCTCTGAACAAGACACTGGCTGTTCTTCTGGTGTAAAAATAAATGGTTTCTAAGATGTAGTGTCATCTTTGCTTTAAAACAGACTGCCAGAGGTTGAAAACAGAAGGGTTTGTAGCTGCATACAGAACCTCTTTTGCAGGCACAGGGCCACCTCAACCCCTGGGTTAATGGGTGCATCTGCAACAGCTTGGAAAGTTCTAGCTGTCTTCAGCAACCTGTTACTGCTGCAGCCTGTGTTTCTTCTCCTTCACAATGAATCACACCGCAGCACAGCTACTTGCAAAAAATCTCACCCAAAACCCAATCAAAACCACTAAACCCAAACCACAAACCCCAAAACAATAATCTGCTGAGGTAAAGCTGACCCATTACCAAGGTTATAAGCCTCCTATGGTCCAGCTCAACTTTACAGCTTTTTGACAAGTTGGGAGGGAACTAATTTCACCAATCCAGCTCAATTTAGCTCATCCCCCCCAACTCCTTCTGTAAGCAGTGGCAAGCAAGCAAGGATGGCATAGCTCAAACAGCAAACTCCTTGTCCTCCTCATCCCTGGGAAAAGCCTGGCTTCTCCATGCCACCAGCAGATGCCTGCAAACACCTGCACAAACTCCAGCCACTACACAAGCAGCTTTAATTTTCAAGGTGAGTGGGTTTTGGCCTGCTGGGGTGACATCTCCCCTCACTGCTGCCAATGGGGGCTAATTATCTCCCATTTGCAGCGCATTTCCCCAGGGAAAGGCACTCCATGCTCCAGTCCTGGCAGGTGCAGGCAGGCTGGCCTGGACAAAAAGCCAGTGCAGCGACGGAGAACACAGACCCGCAGGGCTGAAGGAGTGAGTAAACCTGCAGGAACAAATTGCTCTGGCTGCATCTCAGATGGGTGCTCCTGCCCTGCCATGGCGTGGGAGCACGGCTGCTCTCAGCACGGCATGCTCCTTGCTGCCCACTTTCTCAGCAAGCTGCGGGCTCCTGGCTGCACACCACATACGGCAGGAGGAAAGCGCTGGCTGCTGGGGCCATCCGGAGTGCTGCATCCCAACGCCAGCGCGTGGGCTGAGCCCGCCAGCGCCTGCAAAGCCACTGACTGTTTTCCTACTGTACAAACGCCTGTCAGCAAAACAGGGCTCGTTCCAGATATCCTCACGAGCTTGCTCTTGCATCGGGGGTCAGGGCTGGAGAGCCTGAACCGTGCCAGGCGTTTCCCCTGCCCTCCCCACTCCAGCAAAGACAAAAGCCCGGCTTTGTCCAGCGCCATGTGCGTTTATCGCGCGGCTGAGCTCCTGGGGCGAAGGCTGGCAGCACCACTGGGAAAACGCCGATTGTGCGGGACATGACGCAGGAGCCGGGAACTACAAACAGCTTGCGGGGTAGCTCTGGAGGTGGAGTTTTCTCTGCAGATACCAGAACTGATCCAATTTATCGCTATGGGAACAGGCTACCCAGGGCAATTCACATTCATTACTTAGGGAGGACTTTGATAGCTTTCTGCTGTAGCTTGCTGAGAAAAGGAATGTATTCATTTTTTATGATGCACGACAAAATACTTGGCAACTGCTGTGTTCACTGTAGTCTCACTTTCCAAATTCCTCTGGAGTTTAACAGAGGAATTGTTGTTTGTCAACAACAACAAAATAGGTTTAAATAGGGTTACATCTGCAACCACACTGAGGTCCCTGCTGAAGAATTTAACAATAATGTAAGAAATGCATAAAAGGTTCCTATCTGAAGTATATCAGGCAGTCTGTAAGTGAGCTAGCAGCCTGCCAAGGAGGGATTGTCTCACATAGGTGTACAGCACAGCAGAAAGCACAATCTGTAACTTTTAACATGGACCAGACTACTTGCGTTTCCAGTCGTGGCCTCTCCCTGCCACATCTCCCGTTCTTCTGCAGCAGACAGGGTCCTGTGCTGCTCCTCCCTGTTGGCTGGCAGGAGCACCCCCCAGAGCACAAGGTGCCAAGCTCAGCTGCAGCATGGAAAGCTGTGAGCACAGCAGGAGCCGTGGGCCATGGCACGCTGGAGAAGAGGGCTCACATGGGCCAGAGCAGCACATCTCCTCCCTGAGCCAACAGAGATCACTATTTTTCAAGTGTTTACACAGTCAGACCTGCTGCTGGCAGTGACTTGACAGAGCTAGCCTCAAGGAAATACGACAGGAAAGGGTTAAAAGCTGCTGAACTAACAGCATCAAGACAGAGGTCTCATATGGGTCTCTTCCTCACACCCTACACCACGACCACCACTGCCCCCACCAAAACAGCCCTGAGCAACAAGGCAAGTTGCTCCAGCTTGGACATTGAAGTTTCATTTGTTAATGGCAACGCATAGGTCTTGGCAGCTCAAAAATCATCATCTTTTGCTAGGCAGAAAGTAAAAATACTCAAATGATGGTAAGCACAAAGAGCACTTGAGCACTGGTGAAATGCCACTTAATATATTCTAACGTGAGATAAGTTTACCATGCATTTTCTTGTCACCACTTGGAAAAAGCACTAGCAGCCTCTCCCTGACCCTCCCTGGCCAAGAATATGAGCTGCTCACCAGTTATAACAAAAAAAAACAATCAACAACAACAAAAACCCAAACAAAAACCAACCAAACAAACAAAAAAAAAACCACAAACAAAACCCCGAAGAGGAGAAAAACAACTTGCAAACAGACACACAGCATTAACACACAAGCGAGCTGAGACCCATCTTTTTGTCCATGAATTTGGTCTCAACTCAAACATCTGCAAACATCCCAGCAAGAGGAACAACAGCTGAGTGTATCTGGATGCAGCATGAGACAGAAGAACTGCTTCCATTACCAGGACAAATCTATGCTTCAAGAATGTGTCTTGCAGCTTTGGAAATATTTTTTCCCCTCGGACAATCAAGGGGACACTATTTCACCCAGAACAATTAAAAACTGTTAGCACCAGTCACGTCCCTACAGAGCCTCCAGCATCCTCACATTATCATTACCGCATTTACTTGCGTATCTCCCCTGCTACAGAAAGGCTGCTTTCCAAAATCCCAGCACCCCTCGCAGCATGCCACAAGGTTTGCCTGTCAGCAGTAAGCACGCAAGTGCTGGACTGCCCCTTCAAAGCTTAGTTGGATAGCAAGTGTGAACATTACTCTTGACTATAGGCATACGAAATATAAGGTCATACAAAGAAGGCACTGTGTTTGCTTCAGGAGCTAAAAACAACAGGGGATGGAGAGATAGGCTCCTCTATGGCAGTAAGCAAAAAACACGAAAAAATATGCATTGCTTTTGCTTTTTGAAGGTGGGCTACAAAAGCAGTCACAGCTCTGCAAAGTCTCTACAGAACATCGAGCTCCACACATTACTGAATGGCGACTACATTTCACTAATGCTACCATTAGCATTAATGCCAGTTTATGCAAATTCAGGAAGGCTGCAAGTATTAAATCCTAGCTATGGGATAGAAACTTTTTCATTTTCCACGACATTGCCTGGTGATGACAATCAGGTAGCTCTGCAGGTTAAACAGGGTAAATCAGTCTTCAGAAGTTAAGTACGCCTATGTGGAAGCAGTTATGTTAGTTGCTATTAAAACTTTTACAATTATTTCTTTTAGATACTATTGTAGCTCTATCTACTCTTAAATCTTGCAGGTCTTTGCCAGCATAGAATGAGGCATAAAGGAAACTAGCAAAGTAGTTCAGCAAATACAAGTAACACATGGAGACAACACATGTTGGACTTCCCATTACTTGGGCTAATAAGTAACTGAGCATAAAACCTGGAAACTTGTCTTCAGATATTAGAAACACGACTGGACTTTCAACAGGCAAAGGTCAAAGCTAGCCTACTCATTAATTGACAAGATTTGTTACCTTATAGAGGCAAGGATAAACATCTCTCACTAACAGAAAATTACTCCTGCTCTATCATGCATCAGATTACTCTCTATGGGGAGTAATTACGATCATAATGTGAATGGAAGCTAGTTTCCAAAGTCTGATGGGATTAGGTAGGATTTTATTTTATTGCATTTTACCTGTGCCTTGGCATCTCTAGTATTCTGTGACAGCTCCAGCTGCAATTCCATGACTGCAGCTTCTAATTATACCTAGATGGCATTTTCACAAATCAGAACTCAAAGATTAAAGGCTACTTGATGCCTTGAATACTGTGTTCAGTTTTGGGCCCCTCACCACATGAGAGACATCGAGGTGTCGGCGCACATTCAAAGAGCAAT